CATTAATTCACATTGAATTCCATTTGCCATACATATTTTATCTAGATTAATTTGAAGGACATGACGCAAACAATTGTCTGCGTCTAATATCTTGCCATCATCCGTAAACATGTTCATATAATTCTGTATTCCTTCTGGTAGATCGTTTATGTACACGATGAACAATACTGGTGCAAGAACTGAACCCTGTGGTACTCCACTAGTAACATTCCTCCAGTCAGATACCTTGTCTCTGATTACTGCCCTCATCTGTCTGTCAGTTAGAATGTTTTTTATCCATGCCAGAATTCTCTTTGTCACCCCTCCAGCATGTTCCAGTTTCCAGAACAGCCTCTTGTGTGGGACTATGAAAAGCCTTTTTTTTTTTTTAGGTCTGAATGAACACAGTCAACCCAACCACCTCTTTCTTGCAGTATCTCTGAGGCTCTATCATAAAAACTAATCAGATTTGTTACACAGGATCTTCCTATTTAAAAACCCATACTGTTTTAATATATATATATATATATATATATATATATATATATATATATATATATATATATATATATATATATATATATGTTTCATTGAATATGACCGCATATTCTGTATTTATTATTTTCTGGTTTAGGGCTTCTATCCCTCTAACTATTTTCTTAGCATCAGGGCTTAATTGAAATAGGAGTTCTCCAAAACTCATTTTCGTACTTTTAAGGTGAAGAAAAGAAGTGATTTACTATAGAGTGTATTACACTTATTTGTATAATTTGCACGACGTTTCGAACCTCCATGGTTCATTCTCAAGTGAACAGATCTTACAATACTAGTTGATTTTATACCCGCATTAGGTCAGGTGATAATACAATGAAGGTGAAAAACATGGGGGGATACATAAGGGATAAACATAGGGGCTGCAGAAGGCTTATTGGCCCATACGAGGCATCTCCTATCTAAACACAAAGATTAATCCAGTGTAATTGGCCTGTTATGTTGGACATTGTCTTCTGTGTTGGCATCGATATGTTCTTGTCTTGTCCTTACTCTCATGGTGGGTAGAGTAAATAGTTCCGTGATTTGGGTGTTCATGGTAGGTCGCTCTATTCTTATGTGAATTGCCTCAAGAATTTGTAATCTTCTTGAATCTTGGGTTTTGTCTATTATGCAAGTATTCTTGTTCAACATTTCTCTTGTTAGAGTAATGTCATGGGCTTGTCTCATGTGATTCCTAGGGGCACCAGATTGAAGATGGCATGTCAAACGCCTCGTCAGCTTGGTCGACGTCATACCTATGTACTTACATTGAAGGTTACATCCTTCGTGGGGGCAAGTGTACATGTATACAACGCTTGACTGCTGTAGAGGGTTCTCCGTCGGCTTCGGGCTGTTTTTGATAAGGAGTTCGGAAGTCTTCTTGGTTTTGTAGAATATTATCAGGTTTATGTTTTGGTTAGGAGTAGTGCTTTTTACTCCTTTACGGATTATTTCTTTCATTATTCTTTCCTCTTTTATATGTTCACTGTGCATGGTTGATTTGTAATATAATTTTATTGGGGGTGTTGTGGTTTCTGTTCTAGGTTCTGAATTATACCAACGGTCCAAGTGTCTTCTTATAGCAGCGTTTATTTCCGCGTTGCTATATCCGTTGTTCACCAATACCTGAGTTACTCTTTCAAACTCTCTACTCACGTTGCTCCATTCAGAGCAGTGGGTAAGCGCTCGACGAATATAAGCATTGAGAACACTGGCTTTGTATCTTTGGGGGCACTCACTTCTACCGTTCAGGCATAATCCTATGTTGGTGGGCTTGGTATATACGTTGGTGCTTAAAGAGGTTCCTGTTTTTGTTATTAGTACATCCAAGAATGGCAGACTGTTATTTTCACTATTTTCATGTGTAAATCGGAGTACTGACTCTCTCTCTAGGTGTCTTTTTAGGTCAATTAGTTCATCTGAGTCTTTTACTATTACGAATATGTCATCTACATAACGGCAGTATGTCAATTCTTATCTAAACCAAAGATGCATCAAAAACGCCTGGAAATCGAAATGCTTCTGGACGATATCCATAAGCTAGAAGACAACAAAAAAGTCATCACCACTGACACACTTCAAGCTGAACTACTTGCAGAAGCAGGGAAAAAACGAGGAACATATTCATCTACAATCTTAACCCCACGACTCAAAGAAGCAGCGAAACAACTAAAAAATCTGAAAGACGTAACAATAAGAAAAGCCGACAAAACAGCAGCATATGTATTGATTCCTACCCATGAATACATGAACAAAATTAGCGACATCCTAAGTGACGACTCCAAATTTCAACGAATCACGAGGAACCCCGTAGAAGACCTTAAGCGGAAAGTAAACAAAACAATTACAGCAATCAACGCAAAGAAAGGTAGTGTGCATTTCAATAAACTTCAAGGCGACTATGGCTTAGGATATGCCTACGGCAATGTTAAGACGCATAAACCAGGTAACCCACTACGCCCTATAATCAGCCAAATACCAACCCCAACTTATCACCTGGCAAAGAAACTCAATGAACTCCTAACTCCATACACTCCAAGTAAGTTTAGTCTACAATCATCAGCAGATTTCCTAGAATTGATCAAATCTACCCAGCCCGATGGAATCATCGCTTCCCTGGACGTTGAATCCCTTTTTACCAACGTCCCAGTCGACACAACCATAGGAATGATACTGGACAGAGTATACAGAGACGAGAGCACCCCCAAATTAGACATACCTGAGCCACACTTGAAAAGTCTTCTCGAAGCATGTACAAAGGAAGCCCCTTTCATCAGTCCACAAGGAGACATGTATTTACAAATAGACGGAGTAGCAATGGGCTCCCCCTTAGGAGTTTTATTTGCTAATTTTTATATGGGAACCATCGAAGATAGGGTCTTCAGTAGCAGACAAAAACCAACTGTATACTGCCGTTATGTAGATGACATATTCGTAATAGTAAAAGACTCAGATGAACTAATTGACCTAAAAAGACACCTAGAGAGAGAGTCAGTACTCCGATTTACACATGAAAATAGTGAAAATAACAGTCTGCCATTCTTGGATGTACTAATAACAAAAACAGGAACCTCTTTAAGCACCAACGTATATACCAAGCCCACCAACATAGGATTATGCCTGAACGGTAGAAGTGAGTGCCCCCAAAGATACAAAGCCAGTGTTCTCAATGCTTATATTCGTCGAGCGCTTACCCACTGCTCTGAATGGAGCAACGTGAGTAGAGAGTTTGAAAGAGTAACTCAGGTATTGGTGAACAACGGATATAGCAACGCGGAAATAAACGCTGCTATAAGAAGACACTTGGACCGTTGGTATAATTCAGAACCTAGAACAGAAACCACAACACCCCCAATAAAATTATATTACAAATCAACCATGCACAGTGAACATATAAAAGAGGAAAGAATAATGAAAGAAATAATCCGTAAAGGAGTAAAAAGCACTACTCCTAACCAAAACATAAACCTGATAATATTCTACAAAACCAAGAAGACTTCCGAACTCCTTATCAAAAACAGCCCGAAGCCGACGGAGAACCCTCTACAGCAGTCAAGCGTTGTATACATGTACACTTGCCCCCACGAAGGATGTAACCTTCAATGTAAGTACATAGGTATGACGTCGACCAAGCTGACGAGGCGTTTGACATGCCATCTTCAATCTGGTGCCCCTAGGAATCACATGAGACAAGCCCATGACATTACTCTAACAAGAGAAATGTTGAACAAGAATACTTGCATAATAGACAAAACCCAAGATTCAAGAAGATTACAAATTCTTGAGGCAATTCACATAAGAATAGAGCGACCTACCATGAACACCCAAATCACGGAACTATTTACTCTACCCACCATGAGAGTAAGGACAAGACAAGAACATATCGATGCCAACACAGAAGACAATGTCCAACATAACAGGCCAATTACACTGGATTAATCTTTGTGTTTAGATAGGAGATGCCTCGTATGGGCCAATAAGCCTTCTGCAGCCCCTATGTTTATCCCTTATGTATCCCCCCATGTTTTTCACCTTCATTGTATTATCACCTGACCTAATGCGGGTATAAAATCAACTAGTATTGTAAGATCTGTTCACTTGAGAATGAACCATGGAGGTTCGAAACGTCGTGCAAATTATACAAATAAGTGTAATACACTCTATAGTAAATCACTTCTTTTCTTCACCTTAAAAGTACGAAAATGAGTTTTGGAGAACTCCTATTCCAATTAAGCCCTGATGCTAAGAAAATAGTTAGAGGGATAGAAGCCCTAAACCAGAAAATAATAAATACAGAATATGCGGTCATATTCAATGAAACATGTTTGAAAGAAAACCTGCTGCCAGTATATATATATATATATATATATATATATATATATATATATATATATATATATATATATATATATATATATATATATATATATATATATATATATATATATATTTTAAATTCTTGTAAAGCCACCTACCCAAATAGGTGAGTACAATTAGGTGAGTACAATTAGGTGAGTACTAACACACACAGCGTTTCGGGCAGGTCCTTTATCTAACAGATAATTTTAAGTAAGTTATTTGTAGCAAAATTGAGAACTGTTAACAGGTATATTGCAAGAAAAATTTACGAAGATTAGAAGGTACATTATAGTAAAATTTGAGGAGTATGAACAGGTACAGTATAGCATAATTTGAGGATTATATCTAAGTATATTGTAGTAAAATATGCTTGCAATATAACTAACATGATATAAGACGATATTAGTGATTACAACGGTGAATGGCTCAGGCAGGTTTGTTGGGGGAGTGGGTAGTACTAGATACAGTGTGTGTGTGTGTGTGTGTGTGTGTGTGTGTGTGTGTGTGTGTGTGTGTGTGTGTGTGTGTGTGAGTGAGTAAAGTTGCACCACGGGTGTAGGTGTGCTTCACTGGTGTGTACGTGTGTTGCGGGTGTAGGTGTGCTTCACTGGTGTGTACGTGTGTTGCAGAAGTGTGGAGCTGCACCGCGGGTGTAGTGAAGGGTGCAGGTGTGCAGCGACGGAGGTGTCGCCAGTGTGTGTGCGCGACGGACCGATCACTCTCTCCTACTACTCCCCGTGTCATGCTGGCTGTCCTCCTCCTCCTCCTGCAGCCGCACACTCCACTCAAGACCCTCTCTCCAACTGCACGTCAGTACCTTCCCTGTGTGGTCACCCTGCACGTCAGTACCTTCCCTGTGTGGTCATCCTGCACGTCAGTACCTTCCCTGTGTGGTCACCCAGCACGTCAGTACCTTCCCTGTGTGGTCACCCTGCACGTCAGTACCTTCCCTGTGTGGTCACCCAGCACGTCAGTACCTTCCCTGTGTGGTCACCCTGCACGTCAGTACCTTCCCTGTGTGGTCACCCTGCACGTCAGTACCTTCCCTGTGTGGTCACCCAGCACGTCAGTACCTTCCCTGTGTGGTCACCCTGCACGTCAGTACCTTCCCTGTGTGGTCACCCTGCACGTCAGTACTACTACTGTGTGGTCACCCTGCACGTCAGTACCTTCCCTGTGTGGTCACCCTGCACGTCAGTACCTTCCCTGTGTGGTCACCCAGCACGTCAGTACCTTCCCTGTGTGGTCACCCAGCACGTCAGTACCTTCCCTGTGTGGTCACCCTGCACGTCATTACCTTCCCTGTGTGGTCACCCTGCACGTCAGTACCTTCCCTGTGTGGTCACCCTGCACGTCACTACCTTCCCTGTGTGGTCACCCTACACGTCAGTACTACTACTACTGTGTGGTCACCCTACACGTCAGTACTACCACTGTGTGGTCACCCTGCACGTCAGTACCTTCCCTGTGTGGTCACCCTGCACGTCAGTACCTTCCCTGTGTGGTCACCCAGCACGTCAGTACCTTCCCTGTGTGATCACCCTGCACGTCAGTACCTTCCCTGTGTGGTCACCCTGCACGTCACTACCTTCCCTGTGTGGTCACCCAGCACGTCAGTACCTTCCCTGTGTGGTCACCCTGCACGTCAGTACCCCCCCCCCCCATTTTGTCACATGCAAGACAAAAATAAATGTTGCCCCACGACCACCAACAGTTCACTTGACCGAAGTAATAAAACCTTTCGCAATACAGTTATCCTGACCCCTAGTTATGTTTGATTTTGTATATCATATGACATCAAAACATATATATAAATTAGTATACACAGTGTGAGGTACTTTAATTATCGTCAACCACATCATTGAGATATTGCATAGAAACTTTACATTATTAAAGAGGTGAGCAGATCATAAGAATTAATTGACTTGTGTGCGTGTGTGTGTGTGTGTGTGTGTCCCTCCAGGTGTGGGAGCCCTGAGGCCAGGATCACACGTGGCTACTGTCAAGACACGTGTTCCATCTACGTGGTGTATAACGTAGTCACCTGCATCACTGAGTCACTGCTCTCCGTCACCATTATTGGCAGCCTCCTTATTGCCCTCAGGTGAGAACTACAGCATATTGGACCAGGTGAGAACTACAGCATATAAGACCAGGTGAGAACTACAGCATATAAGACCAGGTGAGAACTACAGCATATATGACCAGGTGAGAACTACAGCATATATGACCAGGTGAGAACTACAGCATAAAAGACCAGGTGAGAACTACAGCATATAAGACCAGGTGAGAACTACAGCATATAAGACCAGGTGAGAACTACAGCATATATGACCAGGTGAGAACTACAGCATATATGACCAGGTGAGAACTACAGCATATATGACCAGGTGAGAACTACAGCATATATGACCAGGTGAGAACTACAGCATATATGACCAGGTGAGAACTACAGCATATATGACCAGGTGAGAACTACAGCATATATGACCAGGTGAGAACTACAGCATATAAGACCAGGTGAGAACTACAGCATATATGACCAGGTGAGAACTACAGCATATAAGACCAGGTGAGAACTACAGCATATTGGACCACGTGAGAACTACAGCATATAAGACCAGGTGAGAACTACAGCATATATGACCAGGTGAGAACTACAGCATATATGACCAGGTGAGAACTACAGCATATAAGACCACGTGAGAACTACAGCATATAAGACCAGGTGAGAACTACAGCATATATGACCAGGTGAGAACTACAGCATATATGACCAGGTGAGAACTACAGCATATAAGACCACGTGAGAACTACAGCATATAAGACCAGGTGAGAACTACAGCATATATGACCAGGTGAGAACTACAGCATATATGACCAGGTGAGAACTACAGCATATATGACCAGGTGAGAACTACAGCATATATGACCAGGTGAGAACTACAGCATATATGACCAGGTGAGAACTACAGCATATATGACCAGGTGAGAACTACAGCATATAAGACCAGGTGAGAACTACAGCATATAAGACCAGGTGAGAACTACAGCATATAAGACCAGGTGAGAACTACAGCATATATGACCAGGTGAGAACTACAGTATATATGACCAGGTGAGAACTACAGCATATATGACCAGGTGAGAACTACAGCATATATGACCAGGTGAGAACTACAGCATATATGACCAGGTGAGAACTACAGTATATATGACCAGGTGAGAACTACAGCAAATATGACCAGGTGAGAACTACAGCATATATGACCAGGTGAGAACTACAGCATATATGACCAGGTGAGAACTACAGTATATATGACCAGGTGAGAACTACAGCATATATGACCAGGTGAGAACTACAGTATATATGACCAGGTGAGAACTACAGCATATATGACCAGGTGAGAACTACAGCATATAAGACCAGGTGAGAACTACAGCATATAAGACCAGGTGAGAACTACAGCATATATGACCAGGTGAGAACTACAGCATATATGACCAGGTGAGAACTACAGCATATATGACCAGGTGAGAACTACAGCATATAAGACCAGGTGAGAACTACAGCATATAAGACCAGGTGAGAACTACAGCATATAAGACCAGGTGAGAACTACAGCATATATGACCAGGTGAGAACTACAGCATATATGACCAGGTGAGAACTACAGTATATATGACCAGGTGAGAACTACAGCATATATGACCAGGTGAGAACTACAGCATATATGACCAGGTGAGAACTACAGTATATATGACCAGGTGAGAACTACAGCATATATGACCAGGTGAGAACTACAGTATATATGACCAGGTGAGAACTACAGCATATATGACCAGGTGAGAACTACAGTATATATGACCAGGTGAGAACTACAGTATATATGACCAGGTGAGAACTACAGCATATAAGACCAGGTGAGAACTACAGCATATAAGACCAGGTGAGAACTACAGCATATATGACCAGGTGAGAACTACAGCATATATGACCAGGTGAGAACTACAGCATATATGACCAGGTGAGAACTACAGCATATAAGACCAGGTGAGAACTACAGCATATAAGACCAGGTGAGAACTACAGCATATAAGACCAGGTGAGAACTACAGCATATATGACCAGGTGAGAACTACAGCATATATGACCAGGTGAGAACTACAGACCAGGTGAGAATATATGACCAGGTGAGAACTACAGCATATATGACCAGGTGAGAACTACAGCATATATGACCAGGTGAGAACTACAGCATATATGACCAGGTGAGAACTACAGCATATATGACCAGGTGAGAACTACAGCATATATGACCAGGTGAGAACTACAGCATATATGACCAGGTGAGAACTACAGCATATATGACCAGGTGAGAACTACAGCATATAGACCAGGTGAGAATATATGACCAGGTGAGAACTACAGACCACTACAGCATATGACCAGGTGAGAACTACAGCATATATGACCAGGTGAGAACTACAGCATATATGACCAGGTGAGAACTACAGCATATATGACCAGGTGAGAACTACAGCATATATGACCAGGTGAGAACTACAGCATATATATGACCAGGTGAGAACTACAGCATATATGACCAGGTGAGAACTACAGCATATATGACCAGGTGAGAACTACAGCATATATGACCAGGTGAGAACTACAGCATATATGACCAGGTGAGAACTACAGTATATATGACCAGGTGAGAACTACAGTATATATGACCAGGTGAGAACTACAGCATATATGACCAGGTGAGAACTACAGCATATATGACCAGGTGAGAACTACATATATATGACCAGGTGAGAACTACAGCATATATGACCAGGTGAGAACTACAGCATATATGACCAGGTGAGAACTACAGACCAGGTGAGAACTATATATGACCAGGTGAGAACTACAGCATATAAGACCAGGTGAGAACTACAGCATATAAGACCAGGTGAGAACTACAGCATATATGACCAGGTGAGAACTACAGCATATATGACCAGGTGAGAACTACAGCATATATGACCAGGTGAGAACTACAGCATATATGACCAGGTGAGAACTACAGCATATATGACCAGGTGAGAACTACAGCATATATGACCAGGTGAGAACTACAGCATATATGACCAGGTGAGAACTACAGCATATATGACCAGGTGAGAACTACAGTATATATGACCAGGTGAGAACTACAGCATATATGACCAGGTGAGAACTACACTGACCAGGTGAGAACTACAGCATATATGACCAGGTGAGAACTACAGCATATATGACCAGGTGAGAACTACAGCATATATGACCAGGTGAGAACTACAGCATATATGACCAGGTGAGAACTACAGCATATATAGACCAGGTGAGAACTACAGCATATATGACCAGGTGAGAACTACAGCATATATGACCAGGTGAGAACTACAGCATATATGACCAGGTGAGAACTACAGCATATATGACCAGGTGAGAACTACAGCATATAAGACCAGGTGAGAACTACAGCATATATGACCAGGTGAGAACTACAGCATATATGACCAGGTGAGAACTACAGCATATATGACCAGGTGAGAACTACAGCATATATGACCAGGTGAGAACTACAGCATATATGACCAGGTGAGAACTACAGCATATATGACCAGGTGAGAACTACAGCATATATGACCAGGTGAGAACTACAGCATATATGACCAGGTGAGAACTACAGCATATATGACCAGGTGAGAACTACAGCATATATGACCAGGTGAGAACTACAGCATATATGACCAGGTGAGAACTACAGCATATATGACCAGGTGAGAACTACAGCATATATGACCAGGTGAGAACTACAGCATATATGACCAGGTGAGAACTACAGCATATATGACCAGGTGAGAACTACAGCATATATGACCAGGTGAGAACTACAGCATATATGACCAGGTGAGAACTACAGCATATATGACCAGGTGAGAACTACAGCATATAGACCAGGTGAGAACTACAGCATATAAGACCAGGTGAGAACTACAGCATATATGACCAGGTGAGAACTACAGCATATATGACCAGGTGAGAACTACAGCATATATGACCAGGTGAGAACTACAGCATATATGACCAGGTGAGAACTACAGCATATATGACCAGGTGAGAACTACAGCATATATGACCAGAACTACAGCATATAGACCAGGTGAGAACTACAGCATATATGACCAGGTGAGAACTACAGCATATATGACCAGGTGAGAACTACAGCAGACCAGGTGAGAACTACAGCATATGACCAGGTGAGAACTACAGCATATATGACCAGGTGAGAACTACAGCATATATGACCAGGTGAGAACTACAGCATATATGACCAGGTGAGAACTACAGCAGACCAGGTGAGAACTATATATGACCAGGTGAGAACTACAGCATATATGACCAGGTGAGAACTACAGCATATATGACCAGGTGAGAACTACAGCATATAGACCAGGTGAGAACTACAGCATATATGACCAGGTGAGAACTACAGCATATATGACCAGGTGAGAACTACAGCATATATGACCAGGTGAGAACTACAGCATATATGACCAGGTGAGAACTACAGCATATATGACCAGGTGAGAACTACAGCATATATGACCAGGTGAGAACTACAGCATATATGACCAGGTGAGAACTACAGTGACCAGGTGAGAACTACAGCATATATGACCAGGTGAGAACTACAGCATATATGACCAGGTGAGAACTACAGCATATATGACCAGGTGAGAACTACAGCATATATGACCAGGTGAGAACTACAGCATATATGACCAGGTGAGAACTACAGCATATATGACCAGGTGAGAACTACAGCATATATGACCAGGTGAGAACTACAGCATATATGACCAGGTGAGAACTACAGCATATATGACCAGGTGAGAACTACAGCATATATGACCAGGTGAGAACTACAGCATATATGACCAGGTGAGAACTACAGCATATATGACCAGGTGAGAACTACAGCATATATGACCAGGTGAGAACTACAGCATATATGACCAGGTGAGAACTACAGCATATATGACCAGGTGAGAACTACAGCATATATG